TTTTTTGGCTCTTTACTAATTATCAATATTATAAATGTTGGATAATTAGTAATAATAAGTAATCTATTAAATTTTATTAGACATTATAGTGTATGAAAATTGGAAAATTACAGAACTTTGCAACCTCATAACTTATATGGTGGTTTACTCAGGAAGACCTCCTCTTTCAATCCCCCCTGGCGGGGGGTGGGGGATAATCTAGACCTTTACCAAAAATATTTTTTATGAATTAAGAAAAGTGATGAGAAAATTTGGTCTTGGTCGCATTTCGCGTTCAATTTCGTTAGTACAGATTTTATCGTCAATTAAAAAAGAAAAAAATATTAACACACAAGTTATTGACTTCGATAATATGGTAAGGCCCGATAGCATCAAATACCCGTTACAATTTGTTACCCGTGTGATTATTATCGGCATCTCTAATATCTATGCGCTATTCTTGTTATTATAACAAATTGTCCGCGTCAACAAGGCACGTTATAACGTTATCGTATGCATTCAATAATTGCGTTTGGTATATCAATAGCTTCGGGGCAGACACAAGGAAAAGGAATTACGATGACGTGCAACTTTGAGCCTGTCCGCTTCCACTCCCGTTTTATCCAACCACCCACGCAAAGCATGAACGAAAAACAAAATAACAAAATGCAAGCCAGATGGAAAACGAACAGATCAGAAATACGGTAAAATTATTATTGAAATACTAAACTGTAACTGGCACGCTTCTCTTGAGGACAATTAAATTTCAAGTAAATTTGACCACGAACAAAAATCGGGGGTTGAATTTCGGAATATCCTTCCTTATTCCTTGTATAAACCATAAAGAAAACCTTTCTGCAAAATTTCAACTATAAAGGTCCAAGCGTTAAGCCTAGGCGTTGATGAATCAGTTCAGAAAATCATGGACGCTTTTAGACAGTTTTAGAGACCGAGTCTCTAACACTGAGGATGACACCTTAAGCTTCGAAACGCGTTTTAGATTTTTTGGTTTTTAAGGTTCCATTCAATATTGGTTTGTTGACATATAATCCATATAAAGTGTGGACATATTTATAAAGAAGCTTTTCAAGGATTCTATTCTTTGAAGGGGAGCAAATCCGACATCCCCTTTAATCAGAATAAAAGCTGCAATTGGAGACGATCCCGGTCTTCGCAAAATTACTTCGTAAATAAAGAACTGGAGATCATCAGGATCAACTGACAAGAGTCACTGACAAATACTATAACCATTAATTGTGCAATTTTAACAATCGAATAAGCTATTATTCGTTGACTTTTCTTAAAATACTTTAATTGTTTTCTGTATTTTTAAATTTAAATGCGTAAATTCACGATTTCAAGTGATAGAATAAGTATAATTTGTTAATAATGAAAATATACAGATGCAGATACAGTCACAAAAGAAATACAAATCGATGCTACTAATTCCCAGCTGATTGAACACGACGTTGCGTTGTCGTATTGATATACCAGGGTCGGAATGAATTTACCTGTACTTTCAACTGCGTCTTTCTCAAAAACGGTAAACTTTTAGACATACAAACTTTATTTAATTTTCATGTTTTGTAATGGTCTATCACCTCCTGCAAGCTAGGAACTTATTTCTATTACACCCTGTAAAATGTGCTGACCTCGGGCAAAAGTATTCAAAATTTAAATTTGTCGTTTAATTTTGGTGACGGACCAAAGCACAACGGTTTGATGTAACTGACGCTCAAGGATATTCGATAACAATAGCGAACATTTACTAAATAAAAAGCATTGTAACGCGCCCTTTGTCAACTTGTTATCATCAAACGGAAAGAATTTTTAGAACCGAATTCGTTATAACTAATAACCAAAACGTATAATACGACTTGTTAGCTGTGAGTAATACCAGACTTATTTTGAAGGAACTGTTTTTGCAAAAGGCTTGTCGCGATTACATCCGCTCCATGTGATTGGAATTCCGGACGAGGGCTGCAATTAAGTTATGAAACGTTTTTCGATTCTCTTTTTGTCAGTAATCTCGGTTATGTGCATAATTTGCAGTCTAGACACGAACGAATTTTCACATCGGCATCGCGAAGATTGGATTGGAAAGTTCCTGATTAAAATGATGATTACCAGTACTTTTTGTTGAAACGAAACAATAGCACTCACTAAACAGCCTAGAGAATAAAAATATTTGAAATTTAATCATTGACAAAATTTCATGTCATCATTAATAAATTCGGACCTCAGAAACAAACATATGTACATATGTCAGAACCCCATTGCAATTAATGTTGGATTTAAGGAACATCTAGCTCATGTTAGAGTTAATAGGATGAAACAATTGAAACCCTAGTTTAAATATAATTAGAAACGCTTGCAATGAAATATAAAAAATACAGAAAATGTAATTGCCTAGGAAAGAATTTAGGACAATCTCGAATTAGAACAATTACGAGGGTGACTAAACTGAACCACAACCCCTGGCAAAACTTGACAAAGAAAATACATCGATCAAAAGCTTGAAACGCCGATGGATTTTATGGCATCCAATTACAAAGGCTTAAACCCATAAAATAGTACTATTAAATGTTACAGCTATTGTATATAAATTAACACTATAATTAAAGTAGTAATTAAACTGAACAAAAGCCAAAAAGAACATCTATTTATGGGCGTATCAGAAATTTAAACAAATACCTATTGTTACATTTTTTCCAGTTAAATTAGCAAACAGTTAATTTGTAGTCTAATGGCAGGTTTCTTTGCGGTCTACCAGCGAAACATTAGATATCTTGGATGAAACAATCAAGCGCCAGATGCATTGTACTATTTTTCTTTTGTTTTTCTCACTCTCTACGGTCAGAAACAGCCGTCAGTTATGGCACGCCCGTTTTTTTTAATTCAGTTTGTTCTTAAGTTAAGACTGTTATTTGATTGCTTGCCTCTGGGAAACGGTTAATTTGTGGAATCATTGCAATTATTATTAAATGCTAAAGGCTATCGAACTTTGAGGAATATGATCCTCGCTCATTAGATATCGCAGAGTCAAGATTATTAAGGTGTTGTATAGTCGGTAACAGACCTAACATCATACATTAGCCTGTGACAGATGATTTCCAAGTTGTTAACAAGTCTTATTTACTGTGGTGTACTTCCTACACAAACTGGTATACACGATGTAATGTTCGTTTTTCAAAAATTTTATTATGCCAGTTAAGAGGGGATATAAAGCAACAATTAAGCGACTTTAGTCAGTTAGTCACTAAAAAAATCGGAAATTCTAGTATGTTCTTTCAATGTACAGTTGCATTCAATAAAAAGAAGTCACTTCTTTTTACTTAGTCACTTATGCTCGCGAACGGTTAATTTAGAAATTCGAAAAAAATTCTATAGGTCTGTAGCACGGCGATGTACGGGTGCGAAACGTGGACGGTGGACACTGTAGAAAAGAAGATTAGAAGCATTCGAAATATGACGTTACAGGAGAATGATGAGGATAGAGTGGATATAGAAGGTTAGAAATGAAGAGCTATTAGAAAGAATAGGAGAAAAGACGACTCTATGGAAGTCAATAAAAAATAGGCGAGATAGGTTGGTAGGACAGCTTCTCAGACATGAAGGTCTAGTCAGAGACATATTAGAGGCAGAGACAGGAATTAAGAAGGGTAGAAGTAGACCTAGATTATATTACTTTTCGCAAATAGTTAAGGATGTAGGATGTTCTAGTTTTAGGGAAATGCGAAGTTTAGCTCAGGGTAGGAAAGAGTGGAGGTGCGTGTCCAACCAGTCTTAGGACTAACGACCTTATGATGATGATGAGATTAAATGAGCAAGACCAAGATCTAACCCGCAAAACTAAGGTCAACACTGAGACTACATCAGTAAGATCAATACCGAATAAGCAAGACCAAGGCCAGGATTAGAAGTATTCGAGCAAGACTAAATAAGACAGACCAAGACTGGGACAGCCTTGGTCTTAGTCTTGCTCTGGTCAGTATTAGCTTCAAAGTCCTTATAGGAGAATGCAACTTTAAGGAGTCATATCCCAAAAAGAAGAGTTTTGACGACTTAGTTTAAGTTTAAGTTTTAAAGAGTTTGACAGAGGGTCATTTTCCATAAGGACCTAGCTCCTAGCGAGGTCCTTTGCGAGGATATTGTCGATCAGATTAGATTACTGTTCGCATATAGTTAAAGATATGGGATGTTCTAGTTTTAGGGAAATGAAATGTCTTAGGACTTATGATAATGATGATTAAATAAGTCATTAACTGAAACTCTTTACATGAATCTAACTCTGTTTAATTATAAGAAGCATTCTAGCAGGAAACTGTTTTCCTTTTTATTTCATACATTTATTATTCCAATTATAACACGATCATGGTCTTTTTTCGTTTTGTTATAGCAGTGTTCGGTGTCCGCGACACTTCCTGCCCTAGAATATGCAGTTCACAAAATTACGGAGATCCTGTTTGCGGAACGGACGGTATAATTTACCCAAACATATGCGAACTAAGGAAAAAAGCATGCGGCAAAGGTAAGACAATAAGATAGATCGAAAAACAACAAAAATGGGAATAAATAGAATTATAATTATCATAATTTTATACCTATTACACTAAATTAACTTTCTTTATTTCTGAACTTTCGGGAAAGTTCTGTAAATCATACATTTAATTTTTAAAAGTGAAATTAATTAATAGTGAATACAATAAATTTTATGTACGAAACATTAACTAAATTTGGATACCTAAAAAATTGAATTTCATTCTTTTAATATTTTAATGTGAAAATTCCTTTTAGTTTTATTCCCTACATATTACCTCAAATTAATGATGAAAACAATTGGTGCGTAATGTCCCGGTTTCGATTCCCGCTGAGGGTGGAAGCAACAATCTTCCTCGTTAATTTGAGGTAATTAATTCTCGGTGGATAAAAATAAAATGAGTTATTACATTAATATTGAAATTGACTGCTATTAAAAGTTTCTTAAACTTTTGTTCTTTTATTGGTGCAGGTGTGAAGTTATCACCGGATCCAAAATTATGTATGCGATCAACTGGTTCAAAATGCGAGCATAAATGCGGAAATGAAAAGGATTCGGTTTGCGGAACAGATGGGAGGACATATTTGAACAGGTGTATGCTACAAGTGGAAATTTGTAGGTAAGAAATTGCCAAATATACTCCTAAAATAAAAAAAAAATAAACGTTTTCGTTCTTACAAAAACTGTAGCTTTTATATCAAAAAATGTAAGATGACTTTAAGGATGAAAGCTCAACAGTCAATCGCCCATTTACTCTTTACCAATGGGAAAGGATTTTATCGTCTTTCGCGCAATTGCTACGTGGGGATGTTACAATACTTGCCTAATAGAAATTAAATGGGATTTTTTTGCTTGGGGTTGTGTTACACCTTCTTATCCCTATAAACAGGAAATCTAATTCGCTTCTGTTCCCCAAAATTATTAACCCGGAATCGCTTAATTTTTACCTTAATTCTGGTAGCCATTTCTTTAAACTTCTGCCCATTAAACAATTTTAATAAGTACATAGACACTTTTTTATCTATACATCGACGACGCGATCAATATCGTTAGAGACAGGACAACTGTAGGAATAAATATACAAGGGTAAAAGATTAGTATGCTTAGATTTGCATATGATATAACAGTGTCAGGATCTAGCAAGGAGTTAGAGATAGTCTTAAATGAAATGGAAGCGGTATTGACCAAACAGTATTGCATGAAAATAAATAAAAGTAAAACAAAAATACTGGTATGCAAGGGAAGAAGCAGTAGGGACAGAGCGAATATAAAGATAGGAGACGAAATATTAGAAGAAGTGACTGATTTTTCGTATCTGGGAAGTCAGATAACTCAGGTTGTCGAGACGCCTTTAACAAACAAAAACAAGCCACTTCTATTCTCTATTCTTATTCTTCGAGAAAGATTGTTAAAGGCCTTGGAGGAAAAGAATAGATTGAAAGACTTCGAAATGGTATTACAAGAGAATGATATCGTAAATAAAGGTTAGAAATGAAGTTGTATTAGAATGAATAGGTAAACAGAGGACTCTATGGAAGTCAATAAGAAATAAGCGAGATAGGACACCTTCTCAGGTATGAAATGCTAGTCAGAGACATATTAGAAGTATAAACAGGGATTAATAAGTGTATAAGTAGACCTAATTTTAGGGATATGGGAAGATTAACTCGGGATAGGAAAGATAGAAGTGCGTGTCCAACCAGTCTTAGGACTAATGACTTTATTATATTAGATATTTGTCTTCTAATTTTTGTTTTTGTTTATTAGATCCTACATAATTGCTGCCTTTTTTTTTTAATTACGTGTTAACTCCCGCTATTAGGTTCTACATTTTTAATAAATTAAAAAAATAGGAAATGTTTCATTTAGAATAGGAATTTCGCTTTCCCACCTTGGCCCGTGTAACAACATCAGTGCGCACAGGGAGAACTGCCCCATCGACTGCCTTCAAGCACCTCAAGACGGTCCTGTTTGCGGCAGTGATGGAAATGTATACAAAAATACATGCCAAATGAAACTTCTAACATGCGGGTAAGTAAATAATATAATATTAATTATTGTATATTGCAATAGTAACAGTCATACATATATCTGTCCCATGTATAAATCCTGAAGGTGTACAAAGTCGCACAGAAGAAACGTTTTTCTGAATAACTGCAATTTTACCTTAACAATTCCTTAACTAACAGGATTTTAATGCTGAAAGGTAATTACAAGTTGTCAATGTCGTTTTTTTTTTTAATTTTTTGTTTCGTTTTTTCAATGTAAATGTCAAAATCCATTTTGCACAATGACATTGCAATCAAAATTTCAGTCGGCAACGAAACTATTGCGTACCGCGTCCTCTCATTTTTCAAAGTCGAGAATCATCAATTTCTTCCGATGGATGAAAAGAACAAACGTCGATAGTAACAAATGCAACCCTATCAACAAAGCGAATCACTCGTCAAAAGGAAGAATATTTACCAGATTGTACCACAGCCAGAACAACAAGAAACCGTTAGATGAAAATTTACAGACAAGAGGGAAAAGTGCTAAGAAAATCAAAGAGAATAATAACGCGGAAACGGTTGCAAAAAAAGAAAATTCGGGAGTGCTAGGTAATAGAAAATCCATATCGTCGCCAAACTTATCCGGTGATAGCTTCAACAGTACCAAAACTAAAACAAAGGAAGAGCACTCGAATTTCTGTAAATTAAAAAGTGATGGTGCAAACAAAGAGCAAATAGCAGACACGGAAAAACAGAACAAAACAAAAGTGTTCACCATTTACGCGAGGAAACCTTCTAACAATATTTTAATAACAAAAGACCAAATAAAGTTAACAGATTGCATTAATGACATTAACAAGTTACAAAGGGGTAAAATAAGGGAATATCCTGTAAAAAGTAGAAGTAACATTTCCCTGAAGTACCTCAAGAACAACGGAATCATGCTTGCGAATAACGACGACTTCATTAAAAAACAAATTGCTAGAAAACTGTATAATGCTAAAATTGATAAAGAACTGCTCTTAAATGCTCCGAAATTCATTTTTTATGAAGATCTCAGAAAGAAATTTGAGTAAAATATCTGTCTAAACAATAATTTTGTGTCCTTTTTTAATATCTAATATAAATCCTGCAATTGTTACGTATTTTTTAAAGCTGAATTAATATGAGATTTTTTAAAAATATATATGTATGTAAAAAAGCAACTCCCTCTACAATATTTCAATTTATTTTCTGACATTTTAAATGAATTAAAAAATTATTGAACACAAATACATATTAAAATGTGTAATTACCATTCATTAAAAAACGCAGTAGAAGATGAAAATTTTGCTTAATTCGTTAAAATAAGGAGCCGACACACTTCCTTCGGGTTGTCTTTTCCTATCTTATGCCATGACCCTTCTTTTGTTTACACGAAAACTTCGTTAATGTGAACATATTGCAACGATTACATCTTTTGTAACATTGACCAGAACTTATGGAGTCCCTCAGCACAAGTTGGCCCAGGAACATCATTTAACTTCAACCTCTTACCCATTAAATTGTCGACTGCAGATAATTTCTTCTTAACTAAGTCTAACTAAATTTTAAATTAAAAATAAAATGCCATTGTGAATTATTATACAATTCGTTCACAAAAAAACACTAAATAATTTTTTTAGATTCGTATTTACTCTTTTGAGACCGCAGTAGGAATAGTTATCAATAATAACATAATAATTAAGCATATACGCAAGTAGTACCCACATGTAGAATTTTATCCTTTGCCGTTATAGGCAAGGAGTTGTAAGGACAAACAAAAAATACTGCCAAACAACAAGACATTGTAGAGAGTCATGCTGGAGAAATGCAAGGCCTGTTTGTGGTTCAGACGGAAAAATGTACGCGAACGTGTGCAGAATGAAATCGAAAAATTGCGGGTAAGAATTCTTAATACTTCCTTTTACTGATGCTTGATGTTTAATTTTTTTATTATGAAATTCTTAATTATTTTAATAATAAACTGTAATAACAGTACGTGGTCCTTCGAGCCGAATCATGCACTATGAAGATTAAATTTCAAGCTTTTAGTGTGATATGCGACGAGATGCATTGGTGTTTGACAATGCAATAAATTAATAAATAATTTTGACTATTTTTTTGGTTTAGAAAACACGTTTTTGAAGTCCCAATGGCCTTTTGCACAAGTCAAGAAAGAACACCGCACAGCACAGTATGTCCTACAAGTTGCGGCAATGAAATCGAAAAACCAACTTGCGGATCCGATGGCTACGTTTATCAAAGCGAATGTGAACTTAAATTGCTGAATTGTGGGTAAGGATTACAAAAAACATTCAAAACAAAACATTAAATTACCCCAAATTAATTGCTGAGGCTGTTATACCCTCGCCGAGAATCGAACCCGGGCGTCCTAGTTGTAGGGACAACCACTCTACTATTAAGCTACGAACAAGGGCCTCGGGTTCGATTCCCGGCGAGGGTGTGATAGCAGCAACAATTTTTCCCCATTAATTTAGGCAACATGTACAGGAGAGAAAGTTAGTTTTAGTTTAACCTTTAATATTAAATATTAACTTCTTCAAGAACATTTTTATATCTATATATATCTTGATATCTAAAACATTTCTTTTGTTTCCCCTTTATTTCAGGAAAGCAAATAAAAAAGTTTCTCGAGTAGATTTCGAAAAGTGTAGGCCAAAATTGTCGAGATGTCAAAAGACGAAATGTCCATCAGACATGGACCCAGTGTGTGGCACAGATGCGAAAACATATACTAACCCTTGTCAGCTCAGTATCGCGACTTGTCTCAAAGGGGTTCAAATGGCTCATATTGGAAATTGTACGACCCTTAAACGATCACAATCTTGCCCTTCAGATTGTGATAACGAAACCAAAGAACCAGTGTGCGGATCGGATGGAAATGTTTACAAGTAAGTCAAAAATGTTTATGATTCTGTCTGGTTATCATTTACCATAATTTGTTACATCTTAATAAGTGTAATAATAGACGCAGAATCGAAATCGTCGGTAAAATTAACTTATTGTTTTATTAATTTTTTAAACACAACATAACGGAAAATCCTTTCAATTAGACTTGAATAGAAAATATTTTATAATCTTTTTCATTTTTAACACAATAGCAAACTTAACGTATTTTAATATTAAGCATATATGTAGTCCATTACACTTTTAAACAACTACCCTTAAATTTCCAATAACAATCTCATGGTCCTGTCGGATTTCAAGTACTATATGAAATGAAGCATTTCATAAAAATAACCTAAATCTCCGAACAAACAGAAAAGCGCTCCTGAAATTTCTACTACTTAAACAATTATCTGGAAACATCAAAAGGGTGAAATATACGTAAAAATGTATGCAGAATCTCGTGATGCTATCGGATTTTTAGTGCGTCATTAAATAAAGCAGATTGTAATACGATTTCATAAAAATGTCAAAAATTCGTAAAGGGAAAAGCGGTCCCGAAATTCCGACCAAATAATCAATTATTTGAAACCATCGAAAGGGTGAAATATACGTAAAAATGTATGCAGAATCTCATGATGCCCTCGGGTTTTTAATGCGTCATTAAATAAAGCAGATAGTAATACCATTTCATAAAAATGACAAAAATTAGTAATTGGAAAAGCGCTCCTGAAAGTCCGACAACTTAAACAATTATTTTGAGGCACCCAGTGCTTGAAATATACACAAAAATGAATGCAGAATCTCATGATGCTATCAGATTTTGATTGCGATATAAATTTAAGGAGATAATATTGGCGTTGGCAAAAAATACCTAAAACTTTGTAAAAAAAGAATGCGCACCTGAAATTTCTGCCGCTTAAACAATTATTTCGAAACATCCAATTGGCGGAAAATACGTAGAAATGCATGTAGAATCTCATGATACAATCGAATTTTAAGTGCGGTATGAAA